CCCGTGAATAATATGTCTTATGTAATAAAGCAATTTTATAGAAAGAAACTGAGCGCCACGAGACCGGTGTGAGTGTCCAATTTTGTTTTCAGTCACGCTGAAATCGGAATTCAAGGTATTCCTGCTCTGCTATTCTGAATCACATTAGCTTTTCTTCTTTAGCTGGGAAAAACTTTAAAAAATATAGATTTTTTCTTTAAAAAAACCCCCCAAAGTTAATTAGGTTCCATCCAGTTAAAGGTGAGATCATTTGGTATTTGTCTTTCACCACCTAGATGAACAAGCAAGCAAAATACGACCAAAGACACTGAAGTTGAGAGCAGGCTGACAGTGACCAGAGGGCGGAGGGGAGGGGATAATGGGAGAAAAGGGTGGAGGGTTTGCAGGAACAATGATAAAGGACACGTGGACAACAACAAGGGGGGGGTGGAAACGGGGGAGGGAGGTGGGGAAGGCTGGGGTGGTGGGGAAAGGCAGAAAACTGTACTTGAACAACAATAAAAAAATGTAAAAAAAAGCCCCCAAAGTCAGTTTAGAATGGAGTTGGCTGTGTGGCTGGTCCCAGGGACAGGGTGCCAAGGAACAGAGGACTTAAGAGACTGGTCCGGTGTCAGGAAGCTGGCAGAGAGGGTGAGCCACACAGGGGCTGGAGCTGGTGGCCCTTCTCTGAGGTTTGTGTGACCCATCTTTTTGGGCGACGAGAAGGAAGTCGTATTAGCTACTGCAGGGTACGTGGTAAGTCGTCTGTCCGAGTCTAAAGGAAGTGTGTTTGCGCTTGGCCACTCTGAACTTGGGAATATTAACATAAAACCTGGTAATGTTAAAGTTAATAAAGAGTTCTTAGACGACCTCCTTTAACCAAAGCAGGGAGAAACTGTTACTTACATGTTAGTATGCTGACCTCTCTGCAAAGGGGCATCTTTAAAGTAGAAGTACGAAGAATGCATGTACCGTAAGGCAAATAAAACATTCTCAGGAGGCGAGGGTTAGGGACAAAGCTGGGAAGATAATAAAATTTTGGCAAAGGGACAAAACCCCTCCTTATTCTCTTCTTAAAGACACTTGTTTTAGGTTCCCAGCAAAACTGAGCAGAAGGTACCGAGACTCCCCACAGACACCCTGCACCCCGCCCCACACACGGCCTCCCCCACTGGCAACATCCCCCACGAGAGCGGTCCGTTTGTCACAACCTTCGAATGTCCAGCGACACATCCTCATCACCCAAAGCCCCTCGTTCACGGTAGGGTTCGCTCTTGGGGCCGTGCAGTCTGTGGGTTCGGGCAGATGCGTGACGCACGACGCATGATGACACGTGTCCATCATTACAGTGCCGTACAGAGCATTTCCACCGCCCTAAAAATCCTCCGTGCTCCCCCTACCGATCCTCCTCCCCCTCCCCCTGGCAATGACTGATTTTTTTTATTGTCTCCAAAATTTTGCCCTTTCTAAAATGTCACATAGTTGTAATCACAGTCTGTAGCCTTTTGAGATTCGCTTCTTTCCCCTGATAATATGCATTGAAGCTTCCTCTATGTCTTCTCATGGCTCGACACCTCGTTGATTTTTAACATCGAATGACACAGCTCAGTGTCTGGTGATATAACAGTTTACTTATCCATTCAACTATGGAAGGACATCTCGGCTGCGTCTGGGGTTTGGCAATCATGAATGAAGCTGCTGCAAACATCCACATGTAGATGTCTGTGTGGACGTGAGTTCTCAGCTCCTCTGGGTAAGGAACAAGCAGCACGATGCCGGATCACAGGTGAGAGCACCCTTAGCTTTGTGAGAAATCCCCGAGCTGCCTTGCACGGTGGCTGCACCCTTCTGCGCCCCCACCAGCAGCAAGTGAGGACTTCCTGTCGCTCCGCATCCTCGCCAGCGTCTGGTGGTGTCGCTGCTCCCCGTTGGGGCCGTTCCAGCGGGCGCGTGGCGGTTTCTCACTGCGGCTTTCATTGGCACCTTGCTGTCCCCACGTGCCGTGGTGCATCTCCTCACGGGCTTACCTGCCATCTGTGTGTCTTCTTCGGTGAAGCATCAGTTAACGTATTCGGCCCATTTTTATAGTTCCCTGTTTTTTCATATTGGAAACTAAAGAAAGGAAAGCTTCTTCAAACCAGTCTGAATCCTAAAGTGTTCTGTCCACTCCTCATTTTCCAAAGCAATCTAATTTTGCCACTGGAAAAACAACCCAATACTTCTCGTAAAGATCAACTGTATTATTTCAGGGACAATTCTCTGAAATTGGGATCTTTTTAAAATCTTATCTTCTGATTTTAATGATATACTTTTAAGCAGTTTTTATTTTTGTCATGCGTGAGGTTCCCAGGGCTTCCTGAATTTTCAGGCTTGAGATTCACTGAGGAGAAATGCTTTTCAAACTCCTGCCCCCACGCACAGATGCGACCCACCGCTATCGAGCACGCCACCCTCGGCCGGGACTTCCAGAGCAGCTCCACCGTCAGCGCCTTCAGAGAGACCGGGTCGCACCCAGGTTCCACTCGGCGAGTTAGTTCTGTCTCGAGTGCCCTCTGTATCTGGGACCACGTGTCTGCTGTTCTCCCACCCTTGCCTCCCCTGTGTTGGGCCTTCCTCGCTGTCAACCCCCCTCCCTCGTGGCGGGTTTCCAGTAAACGTGCCCGCGTCTCACGAGAGTTAGGGACAGTGCATGTGAGGGAGTCAAGTGATTAGTTATCAGGCCACTTGGTCTCACGTCATTCACACAGAATACGGGTTTGTTAAAATTTACTGCTGACAGTTCAGTTTCATTGAGAAGCTGCCTTGTGGGGCTGGAACAGACTGGGAGCTGCGCCAGGTCCAGAGAGCTCAGCACGTGTAAGGGTCCGGAGGAGGGCGCCTTCAGGCTGAGATACACCTTTCCCTACACCATGCGCCCAGGGCTCCCAGGAACACGGAGATGGCACATCTAAAACGCCCGGCCAGGGGTGGCGTGCAGAGCGCTCAGTAGGCCCTGACCATTTCCACTTCCTTGGGATTTGGTTTTAACTAGAGAAAAAGAATTAAATACCATCTACCTAAATAAACCGGTATTACAATCAACTGCAGTTGACAGAAGTAAAAACATGTGAATGGGTTCAAAGCCAGGCTGATCTCTGCAATGGGCTGACTAAAAGGATTTGAGGGGTCGGCCCCAAACCTGGCAGGCTTGGTCGTTTGGGAAAGTGAAGTTCCTTCGGCCAGGGGCGCCCAGGAAGGGGCCAGAGCCGGGACCGGGGCTGCCCGTGGGCCGTGCACCCAGAGAAAGGCGGATGGAGGACCTGCCGGCCAGGGCAGGCCCGTACGCACACACTGTGGACGTGAGCAAGTGCCCAAGGGCACCGTGCAGGTCGGTGAGTGGGCCCGCTCGGAGGGAGGATGAGAACATGGGCAATTTAAAAGCGAAATCCTCTGGACAACGGATTAGACTGAGTCTTTTTAGGTTCGTGAAAGAAAGGAGATGCAGTGTCGGCCGAAATCATGGCGCTAACGTGCAGGAGATGATAAGAGGTGGGCGAAGCCGCCTTCCCCTGGTGAACGCTGCCCACCAAGCCCCGGAGGGCCTGCTGCACGAGCAACGCATGTAACCCAGCTCTCCAAAACAAGGGGCTCGGCGCTTTCTTTAACCGGGCCTTGGGCGGCGGGATCTCTCAGGCATGAGCGCCTCCTTGGCTGCACGCAGGCCTCGTTCTGGCAGCGGACGGCGGCACTGCATCAGCATCCGGCACAGTGAGTGGTGATCGCAAGACCGTCATTCCGACGAGTGCCAGGTTAACGTGCTCTGCAGACCCGTCCCGCCGCGTGCCACGGGAAGACCACGGAACCACGCCGCTCCGAGCAGAAGCACACGCCGCAGTCACACCATCCCGTGCGGCGGCGGCCTCCCTCGGCCCCGCGCTCCTCCCCGCCTCCGCTCGGGGCTCCTGCTCGCTCCTCAAACCCCGTCTGACCCGACCCGTGTGCCCCCCGGACGGCGACGCCGGCCAGGAGCCCGCGTGTGCACAGCGTGTTATGGAGTAATCCCTCCCTCCGTGCGGCGCCTTGTGTGAGCCCTGCCAGCGAAGTGACCCCCACCGGTCTCTGAGAGCAGGAACCGGCTGCGCACGCAGAGCTTCCTAGGAAGAGATGCGCCAACCGCAGAGAGGAACAGCCACCCACGTGCTGCACGTTCGTTTAGAGAGAGGAGAGGGGTTCACGTGCACTTGGACTGCAGCGCGGGAAAGGTGCCGGCCGCCTCCCTCCAGCCCCCTTGTCCACCCAGGGGCAGCGAGGCCACAGCGCAGCCGAGTGAACCACGGGGGACACGCCACGCCCACGCGTGGGGCCCTGGTAGTCTGCTGGCCGGCCCGCAGAGCTCGTTGGGGATTAAAGGCACCACTCGAGCCGGAATGATGACAGCAGCAGCAGCAACAGGGGCCCTGCGCTGACCGCTGAGCCGGGGCACCTCGGTGCTCCTGCAGGAGAGCTGGGGCTGAGCACCACGCGCAGACGCCTCCGGGGCGAGAGTCACAACGGGGAGCGTGACAATCACCGGGCCAGAGGCTTTCCGGGCGTCCAGCTAGAACCCCGTCTCTCAGCAGCCGGAGGTGCGGCTGCGGTGGGTGTTAAGACCCTGGGCTGCGTTCACTGAGTTCCTGCAGCGACTCACCTGTCCACTGGGCTGACCCCTCTGACCCCTCTCAGCGCGGGGGCCAGGCCCGAGTCCCCTTTCAGAGGCCACTCGCTCTGTCGCTCACCATTAAGGTGTGACATGGGTATCTGACGGCCACGTTGCAGTCGGTGCCCCGTGTGCTGGAGTTCAGAACTTGCTTCTCTCGCCCATCTTATTAAACCACAGACTGGGGGCCGATGGGGACTCCCTCCCCGAGGGGGGGAGGAGGATTCTGACCGCCTCCCCTTCAGAACGCAGCAGGCACGCCGGCTGGCGAGCGGCTGGAAACTCACCGCGTCGATAGAAGACGCAGGAGGACGTGCGTGAGCGGCTGCGCGCGGCCCCGCCTTACCTTTGTTGCAGAAGGTGCCGTCGTAGGCCGTGCGCGAGCAGTCGCAGGAGTAGCCGTGGTACTTCTCCACGCACTGGCCGCCGTTCTCGCAGTTGGCCCCGTAGCTGGTGCAGTGGCCCGAGCACCCGGACTTGAACCCGGACGTGATCTTCGCTCTCTCCTCCAGGTCCAGCGTCACCCCGTTCATCCTCAGGGAGCGGATGCAGCCCAGGAAGCCCTGCTGGCCTCCGGCACCACCTGGGGACGACAGAGGGCAGGCGGCTCAGACAGAGGGGCCTCAGCTCGGCCTTGAACGAGAGCGGCAGGAGGCGAGACAGCCCAGTGCGGCTAGCATTCCAACTTTGAACTTGGTCTTGCTTAACAGAGAAACTGGACGCTTTCCCCCCTTAGGCTGCAATGCCTGATTAAAAGAGCCTGTCTTCCGAGCTGCATAAATTGGCTTGGAGGCGCACAAAAACTGTATGAGCTGATCTGAAAGTCTCGTGTGGTTCCCCACAGAAGAGAAGTTCACAGACATCCCTAGGTCCCCTGCTCTTCAGTCCGGAGGCACGCAGCTCCACACCACTACCTACTGGAAGAAATACACAAAGGCAGGGAGGCGTGACTGGGTTCACATAATTAACAAGTCGATGGCTGGAAGGGTTAAGGCCACTTGAAATGTGACCCTAAGTCCTGGTTCCTGTCTCACACAAATGCTTTGGAGTTCTGGGGTGGCTGCGAGTTGGAATGAATACTTTTTCACCGAGGCCAGCCCCAGCACACCTATTACCAGGTCAAGACACACAGCACACAGGGCAAGTTTGTCATGATTTTCCAAGTTACAGAGTTGGATAAAGGTTCATGAGCACGAACATATTAAAATATTCCCAACCAATGTCACAGGAGGATTCACAGGAGCATCACAGCCACGCGGATTTAACTGGGTCCGATTTAATCACCTTAGCCGTGTGTGTGTTTTACAGTAGCTGGCACAAAAGGAGGAACTCAAGTTTATGTACATGTCTGTATTTCAGAGTAACAACTTCTCTGAAAATTACATAAAGTGAATAGCAGTTAGTATCATAAAACAAAGTACAATGGGGTTTTAGAAAAAAGATACTGTCAATAAAAGTTACTCTTTTAGTGAAGGCCAAGTAGTAGGCAGTCTACTCTATGTCTTATATGTATTCATCGCCTGATTCTCACGGCGGCCCGGCAAGGTAGGTGGGCGCTGCTACCACTGTAGCCATTGTAGAGACGAGAAAACTGAGGCTTAGAGAGACTCAGACGTCCACTCACGGACTCCAGCTTCCGAGTGGCAACACTGTGTCAGCTCTGCCTTGGTCTCTAGTTTACGGTCTTGCACCTGGCTCTGTGTTGACCACCTGAGGCAGAAGAACATCAGAGTCGGGGCCCCGGAGAGGTCCGTGTCTGGGAGTCTTCAGAAATGGGGTGGGCCGTAGGGTCGTGGGAGCTGGGGGGAGGCTGGTCGTCTGGGGACTGACTCCTGCCACTCGTTCTGTTATGTCGAATGACGTGTACAATGTTGCAGACTCATCGGACAGGGCGGGTGGACCAAAGGCTTTGTCGGCAGAGATGGATTAGCATGTGCTCGGACCTGTACACCCTCAGCAATGGAACGAAAAGGAAACACTGTATTATTTTTATAAACCCAAGGCTTGCAGTGCCCGTCACTGGGTAGCAGAAAGATTTGAACAGTAAGTCTCCAGGGAGTTTTTTGTTTAATACAAATGTTTGGAAGAGGATTCACCGAAGAGCCCAACGCCTTTTCTGATCAAAGCTGTGAGAGAGGAGACGGCAACGGAGCGACTAGACGCAAGCCCTTCGCAGGGTTTCCCGTTCCGCGGTCTGCTCGTCGTCAGCCCAGCCCCGCGCCTCTGTGCTGAGGGGGGTCTGGGCCGGGGCCGGGGCTGGGGCTTGGGAGGATTTCAAACCGTTAGTCGCCTTTTACGTGCTAAAATTTTAATGTGGCTTCCATCATTGTAGCAACTGTGTTTTTTTTGTTTTTTTTTTTTTTTTGCAGTAAGGGCTCACCAAGGCATTTTCTGTCCAGTAAATGCTTTGCCATTTACGTCTTCATTATTAGCCAGTTACGACTCTTCCGATCGATATAAGCTAGAACTTAAAAACCACTGTCTTTGGCTGTCTCCCTCTCTCTCCCCCCTTGTTACAAGTGCAACCGGTTTTCACTGTGGAGACTGCGAACATCCTGATGAGGAGAGGGTCCCTGGCGCCGCTCTAAGAGGACCATGCAGCCTCCCTTGCAGCAAAGAGCCCTTCCTACTTTCATCTACGAGAACACACGTGTAAAAAAAACAAAAACAAAGGAAGAAACGGGGTCCCAATATACACAGTTTTGAGATTTTCCTTTCTGCACTTAATACGCCACATTCCACCTTCTAAGTGATGCACAGCAGCTCCCCCTGTGAATGTGAGAAAACTTGGTTCTTGCTCTTCCACCCCGCTGGGGCTTTCCGGCTCGTTCCAGCTCCCATGGTCTGGGATGCTGCAGAAAAAACACCCCTGCAAAAACCTCTGCACACCTATCCAGTTCTTATCTAGGGATAATCCTTGCAAGTGTTGAGTGCCGGGCACAAAGGCATGTACGTTTCAGAGGCATTACAAATATATTTCTCTCTAAGAAGAAGTTACCGATTTGCATGTCACCAGTACAGGATGATGTTTCCACCTTCTCCGCGCCCAGTCTCATACAGGCACGAGCCTTTTGGATTTATAGGCTCGAGGGGGGGCCACATTGGGGGGATGTGCATTGCTTTAAATACTGTGATTTGAATGATTTTTGCGTTTGACCAATTCTTAGATTTTGGTTTTTCATGTATGTTTCTCTTTTGGGGGGGAATAAGATACGTCGTATTTCTTATTCACTTATAACAATATTTCGGGTCTTCGCTCAGTGTGATAAATTTGACAACTGTGTTCTTCCAGTTTGTGTGCCTGTTAATTTGTACATAATGTCCTTTTGCCCTGTGGCAGTTTTGAATGTTCACATAGTCACATCCGTTTGATGTGTATGACTCCTGCCTTTGGTATTGGACTCACGCGGAAATTCTTTCACCCAAAGCCGTGTAATTCTTCAACTATGTTTTCTTCCAGCACTTTTCTCATTTCACTTCTCTTAACATTCCCCTCTTTTAAAGCATCTGGGATGTATTTAATTTGGAAATAATTCATATTCAAAGGGTCTCAGCAATCATTGAGAGTTTGAAGAAGAGATGGTTGAAAGATTCCAAGTAAATGTTAATATGACAACAACAAAAAAAATCAGAGATTTAAAAAGGGCCGCCAGGCAGAGCCGACGAATCCCGCTTAGACCACCTTTTGTCCTTGCCAAGGGGGTGTTCCGACACAGGCCTGGACACCCTGGGCGCATGCGGGCCTCGCTCCCGGCAGGGCTGGGGGTGGGGCGGAGCTTTCGGTTTCCCTGCCTCTCTGCCTCCGCCTCTCTCTGGAGCCCTCTGAGGCTCTGCCCTCCCAGCCTCTCCCCCTGCCTTTGTGTGTGCGCACCCCCCCCGGTCAGGACTGCCGACTGACTGTCGGGGGTCAGCTGTGTGGCTTTCCCCAGACCTCCCGGTCCCTCCCAGCCCCCACCTGTGCTACCCACACAGCAGGAGGCTGAACTAGGTGACGTCTGGTCCCCCCTGAGCTCTGAATGACTCTGGTCCGTGAGGACAAGCTCCTCTTCTCCGCTCCTGTGTCTCCGTCTCTATTTCAGGAAATCCCTCTCCACTTCCCCTCAGCTTCCTTCTCTCCTCCTCCTCCTCCTCCACCGCACTGCGGCCCGGCTGCCCCCTCCTCCCCCTCCCCCTCCTGACTGGCTGTAGCACACGGCTGCAGCCTCATCAGTGTCTGCTGCCTTCTCTCTCTAACTGCAGTTTTGTGCTCTCTCTCCTCAATTTACAAAGCGGCTGAGTGGGATGCCACTTCTCTGGAAAGAAAAAACTAAATAAATGATACTCTTTTCTTACTTAGATAGCCCCTGATTTATTAAACTGGCCAGTGAGCTGAAAAGTACGTTTACCGATCTAGTCGACGTGAAGGAAAGTCTTTTGTCCTGAAAACGGTGGTTACGTATGATGCAAACGGTGTTACTGCAGTAGAACCGGTGGTAATTTTGTCCTGGTAACCAGAAAACTGGTGCGCGGCCGCCGGAGAGCGAGCACCCGTCAGCCCCGCAGTGATTACAGGAGATGAGACGCGGGTTTAATCTGCAATCGCTTTTCACAGAAGTGCTATTCAAGCGTGGCAATCAAGATTAATTATGCAAGTTCCGTAATTGTTCACGATGCATGACGCACCGTCACACGCGCAGAGGGAGGCGGCGACCCAACCTGGCGTGGCGTCGCACGGACGGGGAAAGTCACGACCCGGAGGAGCTGTGCAGACACGCTGTCCCAGGGTCGGAGCCCGAGGGTTTTCTGAGACGTGGAGCCGGGCTCAGGGCACCCCCTGTGCTGTTCTGGGGGCCGGGGGCTGTGGCCCCACCCCCGACGTGGCTGTGGCCGGGGGCAGGGACTCTAAAGTGGGGGTTCAGGTTGAATGGAGTCGCAGGGTGGGGCCCTGACCTGACCTGATGGGCGTCTGTGTGAGAGGCAGAGACACAGGAGTGACCCGCAGGAGACACGGGACAACGGCCACGTGCGGACACGCACACGTGAGGTGGCGGTGGTCCGCACACCGAAGACAGAGTCTCAGGGGAGCTGGCCCTGCCCGCACCCTGACCTCGGACTTTCAGCCTCCAGCACCGCGAGAGACAGATTTCTGCTGTTCCCGAGCCCGGTGCCGTGTGATGGCCGCCCGAGTGGACAGGGACGACGAGTAAAGGGCTGACTTCCAGCGTGGCCTGCAGCAGGCCCCTCTGGAGACGACAGACTTGGAGTCTCTGGGGCGCTGTGGGGTGTCTCTCTCTCTCTCTCTCTCTCTCGTCTGCTGTGTGGGGCGGTCTGGGGCCTGGGGGAGCCAGGGCCTGCAGTGGCAGAGAAAGGCTGATGGCAAACCAGGCTGCGACTTCTCTGTCCCAGCAACCTGGCAGACCTGGGCTCTGCTCCACCACCACCGTACCTGGCCCCTGCAGGTGACGGGGCAAAAAAGCAGCAATGCGCTCGGCTAGGCTGGGCCCCCGGGGCTGGCGGACGCCGTGCCTGCGGCGTCTCCTGTTCCGTGCAGGACCACCGAGAACTGCCGCCGGGAACCCACGGGAACCCCACGGGGCACCAGTG